TGATAAAACCAACATAGTGTGTTTGCGACCAGCATGGATCTAGACCAGCCTGCGCATCCGTGCAGTCTGTTCAGGATCCATGCTGTTTGCTATTAGTTTCTCTACTTGTAATAGAGTTGGTAAGTGAACAGCATGGATCCTGATCAGACTTCGCGGATGTGCAGGCTGGTCCTGATCCATGCTGGTGGCAAAAGCACTGTGTTGGTTTTGTCATGACGCGGCTCATATGTTAATTCAAGGTTTGCAGTAAGGCTTAAATAAGTTCAAAGTAACTTATGTACATGTATAAGTATTTGTGATATAACAATATGATGACAGATAATTCCATCAGTCAGGTGTTCTTTTCCTGAAATAAAGTGTATGTAAGTAATCTAAAACAAAACTGCTTTCACTTTACTTATATTACCAGGAATGAAATTTTGTGTATTTTATCTGTTACAGCATGGTTGTTCCATAAATGTTTAATCAGTTATTTTTGGCAACAAATGTTTAACAGTGTTAATATTTCAGTGTCTGGTTTATTTTTCGGTTTGAGCAAGACTGTTGTAAAAAAGAATTATTTTTAGATTTTTATGAAATTAAAATGGCAATAAGCTTTACTGACATTTTGACATTGCAATATTGATGTTGTTTTCATATGAAGTGTTTGATTAATCCAGTTGTTACCTAATATTAGTGAATTTGTTGTTAATTTTAATTAATAAAAAAATTGATGAACAGAAAACAGAACAATGAAACTAACCCTTAACCTGCTTGTGCATGAGACCAGTGCGGACCATGATCACATCTGTGCCACCTGAATCATGGTCTGCACTGTTTGGTATTCAGTCAGAATTTATGAAATTTTCCCTAAAGTGAGGACTGAATTGTCCAGATTAAAAGATGGACAAGTCCATTTAAGAAATTCAGCATTTTGATGCAAGCTTAGATTTTTGAATCTTTATTTTTTAGCAGAAAGATGCCAGATTATTTGAATACCCTTAGATGATAAACTTTAGACTGTATTTACAAAGCTAGTCATTAGAATTATATCCATATACATGTATTGTTCTTGCTATAAGATCTGTATAGTATTTGAAAATGTATATTTATGTGAAATATTTTGAGCCATCCTTCATGAAACTCCCACTTTCCCAGTGAGTACTGGGGTGTGGAAACATAAGTATGAATATTAGTAAAACTGCTTAAAATCATTTTGGGAACACATAATTTGTACCAGATCATAATTTGTACCAGATAGCCATTATTGTAAATTAACACTTTTTAAGGTTGACTTTACAGTTTGATATTGTAGGATATAAAATGACCATAAGGCTTCATAATTACATTGAATTGCCCTAATAGACTTGTGCAATCTTTTGAAGGTTAATCTATAGTGTATTATATAATATGTGCTATATATTTGTTTATAGATCATTCATTTTAAATATATATGTGCTAGAAATTGTTATTTTTTCAAATGCACATATTGATAATATTCCAAGGTGGCTGAAATCCTAATTCATATATTTGTAGTCTTAAAATGTTTAATACTGATAAAGTACCACACAGAATAGATTTTATGATATAAATAACTTACTAACAATTAGACAGTTTTCATAAAATAGAATCTCTAAGCATTGTTATAAACGATGCAAGCTGTCATCATCTAACCATCAGCTTTGCATAGGTTTCTATAGTCCACCAGATTTTAACATTTTCTTCACATCATGCCAGTTATAATTTCATCTTCTCTACATCGTGGGACATTTTTTGTAAAACTTGTTGACAATAAGTAGTTTCAGATTATCTGTTCAGAGATTATGACATACATGTGCATCCATATACATGTTAGCTGAGGTATTACTTATCCATTCTGTATAAAACTGAACATTTACTTATCATATATTATAGTGATTATAATAGATATTGATATCACAACTTATATATCCTCCTGAGAGAGGAATATGTTTTAGATTATTGACATGTTTATGTGTGACAACATGTTATGATGCTAGTAGCTTTTAATTTAATTGCATGGAATCATCCATTACGTGTATAACATATCCTCTTAAAACTTGAATAAAATAGCTATGAAATTTTTTAATTGTGTTGTTTTATACATTCATATCACCAGTGTATCTCTTATGGGACAGCTGACCATATAATCCGAACTTCTGTCTGTGTTTCATAAGCTATGATCTACGGGGGTATATCACATAAAGTAGAATTATTGTAGTTTCTATGAAGTCAAGGCAATTACCTTTAAAGGCAGTTATGTTCCAATTATTTTGATGATTCTTTCTAAATCTTATGTTAGTCTGTTATAACCCCACCACAACATGTGGATGGGGTATAGTGGAATCACCTTGTCATGTCTGTCAGTTGATCAGTCCTTCCATCTCCACCATGTCTGCTCTCTAACTCATTCACTCCTTGACAGATTTTCTTCAAACTTGGCTCAAATTTCACTTCAACAATGCAATGTGCAGTACGAATGCCATCACCTAGCAGGCTCAAT